AAAACCTCTCATTCCTCCTGAACATATGGAGAAATACAAGAATCTTCTTGCTCGGCCAATGAAGATAAGGAGTTCTACTCGCAAAAGACAAGAAGAAAACCCATTCGGGGTCCTGCTTTGGTGCTGGTACATGAGTACCTATGTCGAGCGGCCTTGGGCCGTGGTTCCGACAACTCAGGTGTACACAATACCGACCTCCTCTTCTTGGTAAGCAAGCTTCAAAATGATCAAAGGGCAAGTAGGATTGCCTGTTTCATATGACGTACTTTCCATTAAAATCCACCCACTAGAATTGAGTTGTGCCTGAACTTAAGCGAAATTGAGTATAATTTGTATCGAGTAGGGTATGGCATCTGGTACACGTGAGTTTGAACCTTCAACGTCAATTTCATTTTGTGTAATGTTTTCCATCGCTTTGTGTTTCGATAATCTTGATCAAAACCACAAATGGATTGTGTTGTATGTATGCAAGCATAAACGATAGAGACAATTAGTGCAACACGAGCCACAGCTAGTCACACCGTCATTCTAGTAACAATGTTATTGTGTCTTTTATTTGAGTCCTAGGAGTCTTAGTTGTATGTTTATTTGCTTCTCTTTCAATTATTTCTCTCTTTTGCTTAGGGACGAGCAAATGCTAAGTGTGGGGTTGTGATAAACTTCATAAACACACATGTATTTTGTGCATAAATGATTGATCTTTATGTATGTATGTATGTATGTATGTATGTATGTGTTAAATTTCTCTAAATTAGTTCATATCGACCATGGAATGACATTAGTGTCACTACTAAGACATGTAGCAATTTAACACAGATTGAAGCTAAGATTGTGAACAAAATAAAGTGCAGTGGGCGAATGCAGGTGCAGTGGCAAAGTGCAGACGTGCAGGGTCAAACGTCCAGCAGGAGGCCAAACCGATAAAGACCCAAATCGAACCATTATGGGTTGGAATCTTCACTCAACAGTGAGCAGCCCTCACAAATCATTGGAATTGGATTAGCTTTCTTGAAGTGAGCAAGTGGATTTGGTGGCTCACCAATAGATAAAAAGATGCAGAAAAATAAACGCAAGGAGAGAGACTTTAGCTGGCAGCAACGTTCTCTTGGAAATGGGTATGCAAATGCTTTGTTTGTGGGATAAAAATCTGTAGAAAATGAACTTAAAAGGGGCAGGAACTAGAGGGCTTGAGGGACACTTTTGGAGACTAGTTTTAGACAGAAATATCAAAGGAGAAAGCTCACTTTGGCATACTTTGGAGTTGAGCATTTTGAAGAAAGGAAGAATCTTGTAAGTTGAGGATTAACTTCAACACTTAGTACTTTCTCTACTCCTTTGTTTAGGTAATTAGTTATGATGTTGAACATTATCATGTTTATGTTCTTTCTTTTTATATCATGAACTAATCCCCCAATTTTTGGGGGATAATTATGGATTTCATTATCTAGTCTCGATGTTTTAATCACGACTTGTTTTCCTCCATTTTCTATCGTGTGAAATTGTTTACGCTTTGTGTTGATTGGCCACCTTCACAATGAATTGTAGTTTTCAAGGTTAATAACGATAGTGAAAACCTAATAACCAAACATATTTCACACGACATAATTGCCTATCGAAGCGATAGTGGATTAAATAGGGAAGTATGCTGTCATATAAGGGATATCGATCTTAAGGTTAATTAATTAATTCAGTTAACTACGATAGTAGAAATTGACTTAATTAGTTAGTACGTGTTAATTCTCGATAGAGATAGCTATCAAGTTAGAGGTATTCCGCCTGTAGAAATATGGATTAAATTGATTGACAAAGGTAATTAAATTTACTGTGGTAAAATAGTAAAATCTTGTGTTTCCCCCGGAACTCTCCATTATCAATTTATCCAAAATAGTGAATTTATCGAGTTTACTTAATTTGTGCGTATCTTTGCAAATCATCTCTTAATTACAACCTTTGCAATTCTATAGTTTCTTGAACTAAATTTGTTAATTATTGAATTTCACCAATCCCCTAGAGAACGATAATTTTACTTACACATTACTACTTGTACGACGCTGCACACTTGCAGTTTTGTCGCTGCCAGCTATGAATGAAGATATGTAATTAGTTTACATTTACCACTTGTTGTTATCTTATTAGTTAGTTTAATTAGTTAGTTGTTGTTAGCCATTAGCACAAGTTTAACGACTTTTGTACAGACCCTCAATATATAAGCAGTTGGAAAATGAATGAAAGACATCTTGTGAAATTCTCCAAAACCCTTTTGTCCATCATCTTCTTTTTTCTACCTCTAACATTCAGATTTACTAGATATATACTCTTGCCAAAATACCTCATTTCTTCTTATCCATTCCATTCCATTCCATTCCATTACTTTCTTCATTTTGGTTTTCATTTACTTCCTCGAAACACACTAATGGTTGAATTCGGGTTTCCTTATGGTGAATCCTCGAGCAAGGAAAATGGTTTATAAGGTTCCTCAACTCAGTACGAAGTTCCATACTCAAATCCCATTTACCTATCTCAAAGCAACACCTCTTTCTTGCCATTCATTTGGTTTAAGCTGAACGATGAGAATTACTTGTTTTGGAGTGAATCTATGGAGGTAGCACTATGCATGAAGAACAAACTTGGGTTTGTTCCGAGAATAATTGAAGTGCTACCTTCATATCCAACGTACAACAATCTCATTAACTATATCTCAAACTCCAAGAACATACAACACTGTTTCAGTGATATAACAGTTAAAGTACTCACCATACTCAAAGCTTTGCTGCAACCAACTACCTCCTCCTCAACATATTTTGTAATAACCAAGGATTCTTCCATGATAGGTACACTTACTTACGGGTTCCAATCTTGATTTCAATACTAAATCTTTAAATTTTAAAATTTCATGAAATTCTTTTTAAAAACTATAAAATTAAGAAAATCTACTATATACTGATTTTGTACAACTTTAATGTTCAGGCTAACTAAAGCAAAATCAGGCTTTCACTACCCTGACCAACGTTACGAATAATCCTAGCCCATCCTTCTCATTCCTTTCTAATATTCCTCGTACCTTTAACAACAACACTCAAAGTCCGCCAATATCTAAACCTCCACCCTCTCCACCATTACCGATCGGTGAACACCACCATACATTACTATTAGAATCCCCACTCATGTAGTCTCCACGACAACCATCTGCCACCGAGTCGGCGACTTAATGAATTTGTATTTGCAAATCACAACCTCCATCATCACATATATCTATAAGCTTTGTTACTATAAATGTATTTTATTTGTCTATTCATTGCTTGTGGCCTGCCGACCCACCTCTACCTCCCACCATCACCGATCATTTTTCCATCCACCTCCAGTGTCTTTGGTGATTAATTTCTCTTTATTTCATTCTCCTAATTTGACTAATTCTTCTTAGGCTTCTCTGATTTTTTTTTTGAATGATCGTATTTTCCAATTGAGATATTGTCTCGACCTTTTATGGTATGCATCACTTGTCCACAAATTTGGGGAAATAATCAACAACTTCATTTTTGGGGTTACAAAGTGTGACTGCTAGTTTTATTTGATACTTTTAGGTGCAAGTTATGTTATGTCTACCGTCGGTACTACTAGTGTTTCTAATGCAAAACAATAAAAAATGAAAAGTACTGATCCTTGGAGTAGAAAGATCCAGATTGGGAGTACAAGATTGATGTTGATTGTGATGCAAAGAGGTCCGAATGCAAAGTTTGCTTTAAGATGTTCTCTGGTGGCGACTGCGTCTCAAACATCATATTTTTCGAATGATGACACTAGAGGAAGTATGGCCGGCTTTGAAAATATTTCAAGTGATCACGAGAATATTAATGATATTATGGCTCAAGCGAATTGAAAAGGATCCTATGAGGACGAGGATGATGAGGAGTAGCAAAACATCATTTATTCGTGACAAGGATATACATAATTTAATTTTATTATCTACATGTTGACATGTTGTGATGTGATAGATATTGTAAGTATCACTTCTACGCTCTCCCTCGCTAGACTTTTTCAGAACAGAATGAAATCTTTGTTCATAAAAGAATTTATGACTTTAACATTACTTATTAAATCGATGTACTCTACAGATCGATCTAATTATGAACATTTTATCCAACTTAACCTAGAAATCCATTCACTTTTCTCATAATACTAGTTAAACTTATCCAACTTTAATCTAATCTCAACCTTATAATAACTCCATCCAATCTGATCCCTTCCATTTTGCTATCATATCTAGTGATGGCAATTTGAACCTGCCCCACGGGTATTACTCGACCTGCAATGGGGCGGGTATTCCTACCCGCAGTAGCGTGGGGTGACACATGGGTATCTACTTAGTTAGAGTCGATCTTTCAATTAGTTAGACTTAATTATACGTTCTATTATCACTATTTTCATTCATAAAGTGTTTTCCCTTTCGTTTTATCGTAAAAAGTAAAATTTGTATATTTTTTTCCAAATAACATATTATAGTGGATCGACCCGCCCTTCTCTGTACTTGCGTAGGTTTTACTCGCCCAAATTCATAATAGTGTGGAACGAGACATGAGTGTTGAGTTAGCTGACCCGCCCCGTTTCCATCACTAATCATATTTCCACATCAATTCACTCCCTCGAGACTCGAGAGTTATGTTTTCCTCTTATTAATCCTTTATTAATTCCCAAACCATCGGAGAAAAAAGTAAAAGAACAAGCTAATGGGAAAAAAAGAGAATTTCGTTTGCGTCAACCGGTAATAGATCTCCATAGCCAATCAGAGAGAATCTTCACTAACTCACTCATTCCCGCTCAGTTTTTGGGGCGCGGGCAAGAGGGAGAGCCCAAATCCCACATAGTTGACAGTACAGGGGCAACCCGGTAATTCCATAATTCCCCCTGGGCCATCAACATTAATTACACATTAACTAAAAACCCAGGAAATGGAAAATAATTAAATTAAAAAAGAATTGGGACAGAAAATATAAAACCAAGGTTTTCGTTTCAGAGGAAGAACACATTACATAAGAAAGAGAGAGGGAGAGAGAGGGGTATTTAAGAAGCAACAAGAAACAAATATTGTTAACAGAAAGAAAAAAATTAAGAAGAGTTCTCTTTTTCCGCTTCTGTTATTTCAGAGTTCGTGTGTTTTGTTTTCGGCCTTCCTTCGATCTGTGTTTCAACACAAGTCTCTCTCTCTTCATCCTGCTCTCTCTCTATATTTCTTCTTCACGCGCGAATTCAGATAGAGCTCGACGAGGTTTGTTCCTTCCTTTGCTTCTCCGATCTATTGTCGCGTTTCAGCTGCCCCGCCGGTGGATTCTTCCTTCCTGGTAAATTTTTCCTTCCACTGTCTCATCTTCTTCTTCTTCTTCTTGTTTATTGGAGCGGGAAACCCTAGAGCTTTCCAAGCGACTGCTGGGAGCTTGTTATTCAATTTGACGGTTTTTCTGCTGCTTCTCGTCTCTGGTTTTTTTCTCCCGCGGGCGAAAACCCTACATTGGCTTTTTGTTATATTGAATTGTCGGCTTTGCTTGTTTGCAGATTCGCGGAGAGGAAGGAGCATTGAATTGGAGCGGTGCAAGGGGATTTTTACGGGAAAGGGGATTTTCCTATCGCAGCATGAGCATCGACAGCCCCGGCAGAGGGGAGAACTAGGGTTTGGCACTGAAATTCAGTTCCTGAGCGGGATTTCCATGGGCGATGGAGGTGTCGCATGCATGCCTTTTCAGCAGCATAACACAATCATGGAGAGATTTCCAGTTCCGGACAAAGCAGGCACGACGCATTGCGCTGTAATCAAGACTTCCACTTCTACTCCTTCTACTGCTGATGATGCTGCCACTGTTACCAAAAACGACAATAGCACCGGCAATGAGAATGGGGCAGCCGTGGTAGCCAGCAAGGGAACCACCACTGCTACAGCCAACGGCAACGTCATCACAACCACCACCACCACTATAACCACTGTCAGTAATGGCAGCGCCGGCGCCAATGGCGTCACCACCAAGCCGAAGAAGATACTGAGGAAGATAATCAAGGTTAAGAAAGTCATCAGAAAGGTACCAGCTGGCGAAAAGGGTGAATTGCGCAAGAAGAAGGAAGGATTGAGTAGCAACCCAGCTGGGACGACGAAGAACACCCAACAAGTGGATTTGAAGACTGTCAAGGAAGCTGACAGGAAGAATTCCGGGGAAGTTGATACCCAGGTTAGGAAGGACGGTGTGGCAGCAGCTGGCGGGAAGGAAGTAGAAACAAAAAGTGCGAAGGAAGCTGATAACTTTTCCACGGCAGTCGACCACAAGGCACAGAATTGTAAAGAAGAAGTTGAAGAAGGTGAATTGGGCACTTTGAAGTGGCCACCACCCCGGGGTGAAGTTGAAAATGGAGAATTTGTCCCGCCGGAGAAGACGCAGCGAAGAAGTGAGATTGAGAAGGGAGAGATCGTTGGGGAGAAATTGAGAAGAGGCGAGGTCGAGAAGGGGGAGATCGTTTTTGGGAAATGGCGCAATGGGGAATTTTCCAGAGATGAACTTGAAAAAGGAGAATTCATTCCTGACAGGTGGCATAATAAAGTAGACTACAGTTATGGCAAGTTCCATGGCAGATATGATCCTCCTAAAGACCGCACACCACCTTCTGTCAGGTATCCAGGTGAAGATCTTTACAGAAGGAAAGATGTCGGTAGAAGCGGGACTACCCAGTATTCAAAAAGTGCTTTGAGATGGGAGGGTGCTCAAGATCGGGGTATAAGGATAAGTTCGAAGATAGTGGATGAGGAAGGCAATCATAAAAGCGCAGAACACTGTAACGGTAAGAGTCATGTTAGAGAGAACACTTCTTCTTCTAACAGACTGAAGCGGCATGTCACTGATTCTGATAGTAATGAGCGGAAACACTGTGGAGATTATGGGGATTATACGGGTTCTAAAAGCAGGAGGCTTTCTGACGATAGTCTTCGTTCTTCTCACCCTGAGCACCATTCTCGTCACTCTGTGGAGAGATATAATCGAAATCCTTTGTCAGCAAGAACTCCGTCAGGTGACAAATATTCAGCCAGGTGTCATGAACCCACTCTGTCATCCAAGGTAGTATTTGAGAGGCAGCTTGAGCGGTCCCCGCGTAATAGAAACCAACATGATCACAGAGAACGGAGTCCAGCTCGCAGATCCCCGCATGGTCGAGTTAGGTCTCTCCATGTACGTGACAGATCTCCACATGGACGTGAAAGATCTCCACTTGGTCGAGAGAAGTCCCCTTTTGTACGGGAGAGATCTCCATATGGACGTGGGAAATCCCCATACGAGAAGAACCGCCGAAACAGAACCCCAACACAGCGTTCTCCTCAAGATAGAGCTCATTACCATGAGCGCAAGGATCGAACACCAAACCGTCCAGAGCGGTCTCCACTTGACCGTGGTAAGCACAGTAACTCCAAGGAAGCAAGCCGGAAAGACGGAGCTAGTGAGAAGAGAGATTCTCAGCATGGAAACAAAGGACACGAGGATATACTCAGCCACGCGGATGCAATTGGAAGGGATTCTCAGGTGACATCCACAGAAGCTCAAGAGAGAAGCAATACGTATATTCCTGATGGACTAGGTCATAAAAGTGCCAAATGTGAGACGACCTGTAAAGAAGAGAAGTCTGAGGGCCCAAAAGCTGATATCAAAGATTCTTCTCTTCTCGTTGAACCACCACTGGAAGAACTGCAGTCTATGGAGGAAGATATGGATATATGTGATACCCCACCTCATGGCCCTGTTGTAGCCGATTCATCCACTGGAAAGTGGTTCTACCTTGATTACTTTGGTATTGAACGTGGGCCTGCAAAGTTATCTGACCTTAAAGGGCTGGTGGATGATGGAGTTCTTTTCTCAGATCACTTGATCAAGCATTTGGATAGCAATAGGTGGATGACGGTTGAAAGGGCAGTTTCTCCTAAAGAATCACCCAATTCCCGGTCCATTGTGTCTGAATCGATTACCCAGCTTGTTAGTCCTCCAGAGGCACCGGGTAATGTTTTGGCAGATTCTGTGGGTATTGGACAGTCTGGTAGTCATGATGGTGAAGAAGCACCTCAAACTTTGGTAGAGACACTGGCATTCCCTGATGCCAGTGCACCTGATCTCCATATTGATAAGAGGGTGATGATGCTGCTGGAGGATGCTACCCTTGTTCCTGGCAGGGAACTTGAGGCTATAGGAGGTAAAGATATTCTCTCTTCTTTTGCGCATTTACTTTCCCATCCTTGGAACTGCCTTACTCAACTTTCTCCATAACTCTTAGTGACGGAATTCACAATTATTTTTGCCCCCCAGAGATTTTACATACGACGTTTACGCAAGTGCAGTGGGATGGATTGTCGGAAGGTATGTTTGTGTTTGTTGACCATCTGTGCTGGAATTATCTGTCCTTGATAAAATGATGCCCTTCATATGTTTCAATGGATTGCTCTCTTTTCTCTTGCATGGTTCATGCTTCCTGCTTGTATTTGCAGGGTCTAGTCTGCATGAAACTTCTCATCAGGATCAACAAAGTGACGAAACATCAAAATCTTCAGATGTGAAGCTGACAGTGGCTGTTGAATTGAAATCAAGTTTTATCTCTGAGAAAGATAATGACTTTGTATCTGCTGATGACCCAGTCGGCTGGTTTTCTGGTCGATGGTCATGTAAAGGTGGGGACTGGATCAGGAATGATGAGGCTGTCGATACGTTTCCGAGAAGAAAAATGGTTCTTAATGATGGTTTTCCATTGTGCCTGATGCCGAAGTCTGACTCCGAGGACCCTAGGTGGCAGAGAAAAGATGAATTGTATTATCCTTCTCACAGCAAAAAGCTTGAACTCCCTCCCTGGGCTTTCTCCAGTCAAGACGAGAAGAATGAAACTGTTGGTGCAAACAGGTTGAATGTCACTAAACCTCCTGTAGTAAGGGGAGTGAGGGGAACTGCTTTGCCCGTGGTCAGGATTAATGCATGTGTTGTTAATGATCATGGTTCATTTGTTTCTGATCCGCGGAGCAAAGCCCGAGGAAAGGACAGATATTCTTCAAGGTCTTCCAGGACGCACTCTGCAGCTAACGACTCGAGGAGGTCAACGTCAGATACAGATTCTCAATCCAAAACTGTTAGTGAACAAGATCTTTCTAGATCTTGGAAGTCCATTTGCATACCGAAAGACAAGATTTGTACGTCGGAGGATTTACAGTTGAAATTGGGGGAGTGGTACTATCTTGATGGTGCTGGGCATGAGCAAGGACCATTCTCGTATTTGGAGCTGCAGTCTTTGGCTGACCAAGGTACCATACAGAAGCACAGTAGTGTGTACAGAAAGTTTGATAGGGTTTGGGTTCCAGTTAGCTCTTCTGGTGAGGCTTCTGAAGCTAGTGTTGGCATTTCGGTCCATGCTATTTCAAGATCACTGAGTGAAGCCAATCCGGGACAAAGCCAAAATGGTAGCCAGTTTCATGGCCTACACCCGCAGTTCATTGGCTATACCCGTGGGAAGCTTCATGAGCTGGTTATGAAATCATTCAAAACTCGTGAGTTTGCTGCTGCCATAAATGAGGTTTTGGATCCATGGATCAGTGCGAAGCAACCTAAGAAAGAGCCTGACAAACATATCCACTGGAAAACTGGTATGGAGTTACTTAATCAATTGACTTTTAAGTTTGGTTGTCCAATTGGTACTCTATACTCAACAGTAACAAGATCTCGTACTGAAATTAAAGGTCTCCCTCTATCAGTGGTCTCTCAGTTATACTTGCATGCTATTGTTTGTCTTTGACGAATAAGTAAACTGTGAAGCTTGTTGCTGTTCAATCCATATCCGGTTATGCTTCCTTTTTGGTTTCTTTATACTTCCCTTTATGCATGTGTCTTAATATCAAATATGCATGTTTTTTCGAAAAATATTTCCTGCTAGCATACTTCCCTTGGATGTCTTGTACCTTCATGTTTTCCTTTCAGTTGGGTTGATGCTTGCCAGTTATTACGTTGAGTTAGTTAGACAGGGGTGGGGAGAAAGCTGAATGGCTTCTGAAACTTGGGCAGTGAATCTTTTATTTCAAGTTGGCAGAAATTTTACTGAATGTTGAATTGCTGAAGTCTGGCCTGTGAACAATATGTGTGCTTGTAATACAGATACTGAAATGCGTGCTGGAAAAAGAGCTAGGATGCTGATAGATGAAAGTGATGAGGAATATGATGGTGGGGAAGATTTGGTGGCAATTCAAAAGGATGATGGCACTTTTGAAGAGTTATGTGGTGATGCCACTTTCCACGGGGATGCAGAAAACAATGCATCTCTTGAGAATAATATGGGAGGATGGGGATTATTGGATGGACATATTTTGGCGCGAATCTTTCACTTGCTGAGATCTGACATAAAGTCTCTTGCCCTTGCTTCTTTAACTTGTAAGCATTGGAGATCTGCTGTCAGGTTCTACAAGGGCATATCAAGACAGATTGATCTGTCATCTCTTGGTCCCATCTGCACTGACTTGGTGATCCGGAATATTGTGGTAAGTTCTGTGTTTGATCAAATTCTGATGTTCACTTGCTGTCTGTACTATTCAACTGAGTAAACAATCTTTTCTTTTTTCAGAGTGGTTACCGAAAGGAAAAGGTTAGCTCAGTAGTGGTGGCTGGATGCACAAACATTACTTCTGGCACTCTTGAGGAAGTCCTTCGTGCCTTACCTTGTGTATCTTACATTGATGTTAGAGGTTGTAGCCAACTTGTTGACTTGGGTCATCAATTTCCACATATGAAGTGGCTCAAGAGTCGAAATTCATTTGCAATTAAAAATTCCGAGGAGCTACATTCCAAAGTAAAGAATCTTAAACAGATCAGTGACGAACCCTCAACATTGTATAAAAGTAGGGCCCTGGGCAGTGGTGCTGATGACTTTGGAGAACTGAAGGAGTATTTTGACAGTGTGAATAAGAGAGACTCTGCAAATCAACTGTATCGTAGTTTATATAAACGCTCAAAAGTTTTTGATGCTAGAAGATCATCTTCAATAGCATCCAGGGATGCTCGTATGAGGAGGTGGGCTGTCAAGAAATCAGAAAGTGCCTATAGAAGGATGGAGGGCTTCATTGCTTTGGGCTTGAAGGACATAATGAAGGAGAATACGTTTGATTTTTTTGTTCCCAAGGTACAAACACCATTTGGCTTTTGAGGTTCACCATCTCTCTTTTTGGTTCTGTGTACTGCTTATCATCTTTCCTCCTTTTTACTCGTTTGTTTATTTCAAAATACTAGGTTACAGAAATCAAAGCTCGCATGGATAATGGCTACTACATTGGACGTGGATTGAGGGCTGTAAAGGAGGATATTAGTCGAATGTGCAGGGATGCTATAAAGTAAGTTTCTTTAAAAATCGACTGTATACTATCGGTGATACGAGTATATGAACTTTTGCATCTAAATAAGCAGCACTTGATCGTTAAATGTTCCTAATATGCCCTTTTTCTTTTGCTAAAGGGCCCAACTGAATGTCTCAAAGATGGTGGTTGAATTTCTAAATCTTTGAACATACTTTACGTGCTTATTTGAAGTGCGTTGTTTCACATATTAGTTTGCAGTCTCCATCAATATTGAAGTCTATGATTATTGATTCACTTTCTGTTTGTGTATTTAAATTATGTCATCAAAATGCCTCCCTTTGTAATATGTGTTGGACGCCTATGATTCTCAGCTTTTGTTCTCTACCTTTTTTTTTCGAGTTTTGGAATGTGTTACTGTGACAGCCTGTATGAAGACCTTACCTTTTTTGGGTGTTTTCTTTGTATCTGATATTTGTCCGCTGCAATCAGATTCTAACTGTTACCAATCTTTTTATGTAGAGCAAAAAATCGTGGTGCTGGAAACATGAATCGTATTACAACTTTGTTTCTTCAACTTGCCTCACGTTTAGAGGATAGTTCCAAGTTCCCTTATGAAAGGGATAAGCTCATGAAATCATGGAAATATGACTTGTCTGCCGGTCTAAGCTCAGGATACAACAAACACAAGAAGAAGTTGCTCAGTGAAAAGAAGTATGCCAGTAGGAGTAATGGGACTCCCTTAGCAAATGGATCTCTTGATCATGGGGAATATGTATCCGATAGAGAAATAAAGAGACGCCTATCTAAATTGAATAGAAAATCGATGGATTCTGGAAGTGAAACTTCTGATGATTTTGACAGATCATCTGGAGATGGCAGGTTTTATAGTGATGGTACTTCTTCTGATACTGAAAGTGACTTGGAGTTCCAACCAGGAGGCCGAGACGGGAGTTTAGGAGATGGATATTTCTTGGAAGAGGAGAGTTCCTATTCTGTTGTGGATGAACGTGAGTGGGGTGCTCGCATGACCAAAGCAAGTCTGGTTCCTCCTGTGACTAGGAAATACGAAGTCATAGATAGGTATGTAATCGTTGCAGATGAGGATGATGTGAAGCGGAAGATGTGTGTTTCTTTGCCAGATGACTATGTTGAGAAACTTGAAGCTCAGAAAAGTGGCACCGAGGAATTGGACATGGAGCTTCCTGAAGTTAAGGACTACAAACCTAGAAAATTGCTGGGAGATGAAGTTATCGAACAAGAAGTTTATGGAATTGATCCTTATACCCACAATCTGTTACTTGATTCTATGCCGGAGGAAATGGATTGGTCTCTACAGGAAAAACATGAGTTTATTGAAGATGTGCTCCTCCGAACTCTGAATAAGCTAGTCAGGCGCTTTACTGGTGCTGGGAACACCCCCATGATTTACCCTTTGCAGCCTGTTATAGAGGAACTTCTGAAGTCTGCAGAGGAGGACTGCAACATACGAACAATGAAGATGTGTCGGAGTATCATGAGGGCCATAGATAGTCGTCCTGATGACAAATATGTTGCTTATAGAAAGGTATGGCTTATTTGTAGACTTTTTTCGATACCTACTCGTGTGTCAATGGCCCTTTTTTTTTTTTATCTCTATCTATCTCGTTCATCCCCTTTGGATCATTTTCTTCTTTTTCTGCCAGGGTCTTGGTGTTGTTTGCAACAAAAGTGGTGGCTTTGGAGAAGATGATTTTGTTGTTGAGTTTTTGGGAGAGGTATTGATCAAAGTTCATTGTGTCATTCAACTGTTGGAATCTTCCACCTTTCTTTTGCATGACTTATTTCTTTGAAGTATTTTGGAAAATGTCAGGGTCTGTCACGTATCTCTCACTAGGCTTCCTTTTGCAATCTTTGATTTATGATCATCTGAAAATGCTATGAACAGGTCTATCCTGCTTGGAAGTGGTTTGAAAAGCAAGATGGTATTCGTTCTTTACAGAAAGATAGTAAAGAGCCTGCTCCAGAATTTTACAATATCTATCTTGAGAGGCCGAAGGTAGTTTGTCGGAATTGCATATTTGGTATTGATGTCTCAGATGCCATTCTGATTTATTTTATTGAGCAACACTTGTTCTTTTGTTCTTTTGTAGGGTGATGCGGATGGTTATGATCTCGTGGTTGTCGATGCGATGCATAAAGCGAACTATGCTAGTCGGATATGCCATTCCTGCAGACCCAATTGTGAAGCAAAGTGAGTATATCAATGATTATTTATGCTTGCTTTTCTCTGATAGAAAGAGGAATTTGCAATGCTGTTGAGATGCCTAAGAGTTTTTTTTATCATAGTTGTCCTCCGTTGTGTACTTCGTGCACCTATTGATTTCATGTATACTTGAATTAATGAACTATGATTCATATGGACCTTGAAAGCACCAGCATTCAAATCTACAACACCTTGGATGGTTTACACGCTACAAAATTCTGGAATCCGATATTTTTCTTGCCTATAGTGATGGTAAAAAGAGTGTTATTTGAGCCTCTTATAAGTTTTCCCTCACACTCTCATCATTGTTTTCACTGGTCTAGGAATGCCAGGGTTGATGTGAGATGTTGTTGGTATGTTTGTGTTCTGCTGTTGCTTACAAATGATGCAAACCAGTCAATTTTTGTTGGATGGATTTAACTGGACGCATCTCTTCACTTGTTTTCTGTTTCTTACTTTTCAGTTAATTCCACCATATCCTTATTCAACTATGTGCATTTGTCCTGGTTATGGTTGCAGGGTTACAGCAGTAGCTGGACAGTATCAAATTGGAATTTACTCTGTCCGTGAAATTCAAAATGGCGAGGAAATCACGTTTGATTACAACTCCGTGACAGAAGTGCGTGTATTATAATTTCAAACTTCCTTACTCAAGCGTACCTATAATATATATTTTTAGACATCATAGATTCTTGTGCATTGCAGAGTAAAGAAGAGTATGAAGCATCAGTTTGTTTGTGTGGAAGCCAAGTTTGCCGAGGGAGCTACTTGAATTTGACTGGTGAAGGGGCTTTCCAGAAGGTACAAATTGTGGGGGGCATTATGGTGCTCTTTCCCTTGGTTCTTCCAAGTGTTTGGTAGCATGATTGTTTTTTTTTAGAATTACCTCAAAGTTCTTTACCTCTCCCCTTCCCTATTTAGCTGGACTATTATTGTTTTGCAGGTGCTGAAAGAGTGGCATGGAGTACTGGATAGACATCACTTGATGCTAGAAGCTTGCGAATTGAGTTGTGTATCCGAGGAAGATTATCTCGACTTGGGGAGGGCTGGTTTAGGAAGTTGTCTGCTTGGTGGATTGCCGGACTGGGTGGTTGCCTATTCAGCTCGTTTGGTGTGTCTCTTTTGACTAGTTTCCAGAATATTCTTCGTTCTTTTGGTGTTTCCTGTTTCCACATTTTTCCTGATGGATTCTTTGTTTGTTTGTAAAAGGTGAGATTCATAAACCTTGAAAGGACAAAGCTGCCTCAAGAAATTCTGAAGCATAACTTGGAAGAGAAAAAGAAATACTACTCCGAAATATCTCTTGATGTTGAGAGAAGTGATGCAGAGGTTCAGGTAAATTGCGTTGCGTTGAATTCATGCTTGGAAATATTAGTTACTTCAAGACCTACTCTAGTGTTTATTTGTGCTCACTTTACTTGATACTCCTCTTACTTTGACTTTATAGGCTGAAGGTGTCTACAACCAGAGGCTTCAAAACGTTGCTATCACTCTTGACAAGGTGAGAACATTGTTTTCATATGGGTGGATAATCTGTTAGGCACTTTGCAATCAACTATTAAGGCTCTGCTTAGACTAATCTCTTTTGAGATCTTTACTTGTACCCATGTTAATCTGTTACTTCCACTCATGATTTATGCTCTTGAATGCTTACACAGGTGAGGTATGTGATGAAATCTATATATGGCGACCCGAAGAAAGCTCCACCACCGCTAGAGAGGCTTTGTCCGGAAGAAATTGTTTCAGTCCTTTGGAAAGGGGAGGGATCACTAGTTGAGGAACTGCTTCAGTGCATGGCTCTTCATATGGATTCAGACAATCTAAATGATCTCAAGTCCAAGATACGTGCACATGATCCATCAGATTGTGCTGATGTACAGAAAGAACTTCAAAGATCGTTGTTATGGTGGGCATATACTAAAAATTTTCTTTAGCTTTTCTTATTAACCGCTCTCTATTTTGGGTTCTGGTACCTGACACTATATCTGAATTTTCGTGTGAAGGTTGAGGGATGAGATCCGGAATCTTCCATGTACATATAGGTGCCGGCATGATGCTGCAGCTGACTTGATTCATGTTTATGCTTACACAAAGTGCTTTTTTAGAATTCGGGTGAGTCCTTCTTCCTGTAATTTATCTGCAGCTGTCCTTAGTGGTTATGCAGCTTTTGGTTTCCCTAACCAAACTGGTTAGCTTTCCCTAGGTTGCATATGGCTGGGGATTGGGGATGGTTTGTAAACTAGTATTCTGCCGTTTTTACTCGTATGGTTTGCTAATGATGCTCTACTTTTGTTTCAGGAATATGCCGCATTTACTTCTCCACCAGTTCACATTAGTCCACTTGACTTAGGCCCGAAGTCTGCTGATAAACTGGGTCCTGGTAACCATGAGTATCGGAAGACGTACGGAGAGAACTATTGTATAGGACAGCTGATTTTTTGGCATATACAGACAAATACAGACCCGGATACTACCCTTGCTAGAGCAACCAAGGGATGCCTGTCATTGCCTGACATAGGTTCCTTTTACGCCAAGGCTCAGAAGCCAACTCAGCAGCGTGTTTATGGCCCCAAGAACCTGAAAGTAATGCTGGAAAGAATGGTGAGTATGTTTAGCAGACCCAGTTTGAAACTATATCATGAATCATGATATATCAAAAAGAGGTAAAGGCTCAAGGTTGATTGTGTAATCGTTTGCAATCTCTTATTTTTGCAGGAGAAGTACCCACAGAAGCCGTGGCCCAAGGATCAGATATGGTCGTTTACCAACAGCAGTCACAGGGTCTTTGGGAGCCCGATGTTCGACTCCATCGTAAAGAACACGAATCTGGACAGGGAGATGTTGCATTGGTTGAAGCACAGACCGACGGTGTTCCAGGCAATGTGGGATAGGTGATTGCTATTAGTTGCTTCCTTAATTGAGATGCCTAGGAGAAAGAAAGCTGCACTTGGATGGGAGGATTCTGGTTAGGAAACCAACCGTTAGTGTTATTTCTTTTTGTAGTTTCCGTTTGGAATGATTTGATCAATTTTAGTTGCCAACTTACCCTTGGTAGTTTGGGGGTTTAAGTATGGTGAAGATCATTCTAGGGGGAGCACAAGTGTCCTTCCAGCAACAGCAGCTCTTGCTTTCCTCCCTCAATTATTCTGTACAGTTTCCAATTGTAAATCTCTTTAGCTTGTTTTTAGTTTTAGAAGTTTCTCTCTTGGTGGTTTGTAATTTGTAATTCATTAAATAGTCGTCGTTAGTTTATTATCAGCTAGTTTTAAGTAGAAAATAGATTGAAAAGAAAAGAAGTGGGAAAAATATTGTAGCTTTGCTTGTAATATTCTAATTTCATTAGCTAGTGTCTTGTTACCAGACTCGTCGACCAAATTGCTGACCGGAATGGGAGCAACTGATTGAACTCGACTTGTGTGTTGCTGTGTGGCGCTCGTCGATTTTGTTTCCTCTGTGGCTTCTTTGGGTGGTCTGTTCTTCAAGTTTCCTCAAAATCTTCAATTTTAATTTTTCACTGTGGACCCAACTCTGTTCTTTCTACTTAGTTTTTGAAACAGTAAATTTCCATGGTGGGTTTTACGCGGTAATCGGGATTGTATAGTCTCGATTCAGATTTATGCCTTGAGAAAAGAAATGCATGCACGGGCCTCGAAATGGCAGCAGCGAACACGATGGGAAACACAGCTGCAAATTTCTTGGTAGGAAAGAATATTTGACATTTTGGGCTTCTCTTCTCTTCTCTTCTCTGTACTGTCCACCGACTTGCTTTTGACAAGTTGGAGTTGTGTCTTCGTTGTGGGGGCACGAGAGGAGGAAATCACTCCAAGGGCTCGCCTTTTTGGGTAAATTTATAGCCAGCCATGCCATGAGCAATGTTGTTGGATTGGATGGAACCCACCTGGTCGTTCAACTGTTAAAAATGAGAGCTTACTTCTTCATAATCAAATGCTTTGAGAATGTTATGAGTTTTACTTATTTGTACCCTTATTTGATACATATCACGCACGAAGTGTTTGTAAAGAGTAATGGAATGAGGATACAAAAGTTTAGTGAGAGAAAAGATACATGCAAGGAGCCCCAAGAACATAGATGTTCGAAAGGACTCATTAAAGATTAATTCATATGTGAGTATCTTTGGACTAAATGCTAAGAGCGATGAATAAGTTTTAAGATAATGAAGGAACAAAGAGATATTAATAAAAAAGCAAGATGATTATAGTTTCATAGTCACACATTTATTTATTGACATTCTAGGAATAAGAACATCACCTCAAGTCTATTTGTACATTATCGATACAAAATTTAATTACTGTGTCGATCCAAGATAGCTCAAACACATCTTATATGGCTGGATGTAGGGATGGCAATGGGGCGGGTTTGCCTAAACCATCCCCATCCCCGCTTTCAAATATTTATACCCATACCCGCCCCATACCCATGCGGGGGAAGGTTTTGCAAACCCATCCCCATACCCATGGGTTTTGGGTACCCATGGATAATACCCGCCCCGTACATCCAACATTATAAACGGAATATTTTACATGTAGACTTTCAATTATAACATTAAACGCACCTACTATATCATGAAGTTTACAAAGAGACAATCATTTTTAATAGTATTCAAAGCATCTTATCCTAAAGCATCCATTAATCCATATCAGAGTAGAGTACAATGTCATTAAAATCATTATTCTCTATTGTGATACATCTATTAAGTAATAATTAACTAACATAATCTTGTTAACAAGGGGAAAAAGTGAAAGAGTGAAGGGAAAATTGAGACAAATAAATTAGATTTTGATTTGGGTGGTGACTTAATTGCATTTCTACTATATATTTTTATTCAGTTATACTCACTATTATTGATAGGTTACAAATCAATTCACATATTTTTCATATGTGAAGAAATATTTTTGGTGGGGCGGGTATGGGTATGGGTATGGGTATGGGGCGGGGGAGGCTAAAACCATACCCGCCCCATATCCATCAAACTTTTTGCGGGTTTTACCCATACCCGCCCCATACCCGGTCAATGCGGGGATTCCCCGCGTTGACTGGGTCGGGGGCGGTCGGATACTCGTGGGCATGGGTTTGATTGCCATCCCTAGCTGGATGGAACATCAAAGTTCATTCGTCTAATACTGCTCTGGACTTCTTGGATCCAAACCCACTAGTCCTTGGCTCCTTGCAGCCATGATTTCTGTTTCATGTTAGCGGTGGATAAAACTAAAGGAAACAACATTAACCTAGAAGTTGCCTTTTTCACCCATTGATTCTTGAGATGCACAAGCACAAGGATCTGTGTTCTTCACCTCTCCTTTCCATGAGCTGGATTATGCGCTCTTTCCCCTTTTATTTGTTTAGCTGTTTCCTTCCTCTCCTCCTCCATCAAAGGAATCCCTAAAAGACAAAAGAAGCCTCGAAAGGCAGTACATACCCACACAAAAAATAATGGCAAACCAGAAGCAAAAGATGTACAGTGTGGAAAAAGAAGAAGGAGAAGGAGAAGAAGAAGAGCAAACTAATAAAGTTCCCCATTCCACTGCTGCAACGAAAAGAGGCTTTTGCTCTCTCACTAGTCACTACTACTCTACACTGTACACACTCACCTTTCTTACTTTAGTTTGTGCTTTACTTACTATCCGAGTATATCTTCTTCTTAACATCCCTCCTCTCCTCTTGCTTCCTCTCCTTTCTGTTTACTCTTCCCTACCCTGCCTCCCAAAAAAGTTCATTTCATGAAAAAATGGGGAAAATAGTTGGCCTTTTCATATGCATCTTGATTGTAGCCATGGACATTGGTGCTGGAATCCTTGCCTTCCAAGCAGAAGTTTCACAGAACAAGGTACAGAAGAGACTCTGGCTTTATTAGATCTGTGTAACGTTATCATGTCAACATTACTTACATCTGAAGAAACTGGGTCTGTTATGTCTGTGTAATGTAATCATCTTCTGTTTTGGTTTAGGTTAAGCACTTGAGGCTATGGATATTTGAGTGCAGAGATCCAAGCAATGGTGCATTCAAGCTAGGGCTGGCTGCAGCTGGGCTCCTTGTTCTAGCCCATGTCATTGCCAACTTGCTTAGTGGCTGCCTTTGCATATGCTCCCAAGACGAACTTCAGAGGGCTTCTCCTCACAAACAACTCTCTGTGGCTTGCTTCTTCTTCACTTGGTATATGAATACATTTGGGGTTTTAATGATTGCTTCTTTCTTTTAGTTTTTGTGAGCTGGTTCTGTAACGGGGAATTCAAATTTGCTTTTGTTCTAATAATGGCAGGATCATATTGGCAATTGGGTTGTCGATGCTGGTGATTGGGACATTGTCAAACAACAAGTCAAGAGCTTCATGTGGGTTCACACACCACCATTTCTTCTCCATTGGAGGGATCTTGTGTTTTGTTCATGGCCTCTTTTCTGTTGCTTACTACATCTCTGCCAATGCTGCTAGTGATGAAAAGTAGCTAGAGACCCAGCCTTTGCTTGCTTGGTTTCCATCAGCTTGTTAAGCCTAAATTTGTGTTGTGTTTGTCCAACTTTCCCTTTTTTTGGTGTTAATTTATATCCTTCGTTGCTACTTACTTCATCTTCATTGTCTCCACCGGTCTGCAACTCAAAACACTCAGCAGAGCTGGTCAAAGACATACATGATACATGTAGTTGATGCCTCGCCTAAGAGAGAAACGAACTTCAAGAGATTTAAACTACGTAAGCCGCAGAAATGTTTTATCAACCACTCTATTATGGCTCTCGTATTGTAGCTCCACTGTTCCTTTCCTTATCTACCTACTCATCTATAACCGCATGGTTTTGATCATGGCAATATTTCTCTTCTTGTTCTTGCTTCAACACTAATGACCTTGAAACTCTCTCCTTCACAAGTGAATGCTATCAAAAACTAAACCCAAATCTAATTCCAAGGAACACAGCAACCATATCATACTAGCAACAATTGACAAAATTTTGTACTACGAATATCATTAACCAAGTTCATCCAATTCCGACAACCCATCATAATACCCATAGCATAACAAAAGAACTGCAAAAAGGAACTGCTACTCCTCAACATACTAAAACTTGACAGAATTCAAATTCCTCCAAAAGAAAACCCAACCCCTTTACCTCCATAAACGAAAATCCATCCCCTTACATGCCTTTCACCACACAAGAGAGACATACATAAACACAAACGCTCTCATTCAGACCTGCACACATCCATCGCCCCTTTCACTTGTTCGTTAATCAACGACATCCGCTGCACAAACAGCTGCAACTCAGCCCTTTTCAGCGTTTTCCACCTCGACTCCCAATCCTTCAATATTGCCTCATCAGTCTTTCCAACCTCATTCATGAAAACCTTTCTCACTTGCTCATTAACTGTTGGCTCTTCCATGGATGCAAATAGATAAGGATACTTGTCACACAGCTTCTTCTCCTCTTCTTTTCCATCCTCGACATCTTTCTTTTCTTCAACCGTGGGAGCAACCCGTTTCGCTTCTCCATTCACCAGGCTGCTGCTGTTGCCACTGGCCTTCTTCTTATGATCTCCATTCAATTCTTCATTTGAGACCCTCCTTGGCTTCTTGGCACTAGGAGCCAGGCTGCTAGTCGGTTCCTGCTTAGGCAAAGCTAGTGTAACCCCAGCACTAGTACCAATGTTGTCAACTTTAGAGCTGCTCTTACTCTTGCTCTTCTTACTAGTCTTCTCACTTTTCTCACCCTCAGACCCCCAGATTTTCTTAGACAGCTCAAACGATTTCTGTTCATGAGACTTGGAGAAAACAGGGTACTCACCATCGGCCTTACTCTTTTCAGCCAAGCTCTGATACTTCTGCTTCAATCTCCTGACTTTGGTGGCGAGGGAGGTCTTGGAGACCTTGTTCTGAATGGATTTCTCGATGTAATCGAGAAAGGCAGCCATATCAGAAGAGGGATCGGAACCCCTTTCAGATTTGTACTGAATCATCCCGCTAAGGAGCGCAATCTCGTCGCTCTCGCTCCAACGCCCCTGAGTGCTGCCTTTTCTTACTTCCTCCTCCTCCTCTTCTTCTTCGTTCCCGCCACTGATGGCAGCAGATTTCTTCTTGTCGGTGGCAGCTTCGGGATCGGTTGATGCGGCGGGGGTGGGCTTCTTGATCTTTGCGGGGGTGACGGGCTTCAGCTGAAAGGCGGAAGCCGAAGGAGAAGACCGACCCGAACTGGATTCGGCCTCGGCGTCGGACTCGGTGTCGGAAGAGTCCAACGCCTTCTTCCCATGACTGGCAGCGGCAGCGGCAGCAGCAGCAGAGGACGTGTGGTTGTCATCGGTGGATTCGCTTTCCACTTCGCTCCCCTCCTCGTCTTCTTCTTCTTCCTCCGACTCCGGCGGCGGCGGTGGGTTCTCCTCTACTGGGCGCTTCTTGGCCATTATTCCGAATTGAAATTGGGAGTTGAAAGGGTTTTTTGATTTCTCTAAGGAGAGACGGGTGCGAGATGGAATTGGTAGGGTTTGGAGTGTGTATATTTATACTGTTGAAAGGAAACGGTAGAGCTTTGGCAGACTAGGAATCTAGGATTTATGGCCTCGCCGGCTCGCCCAACGAAGCCTAGAAGCTAGTGCGTTGAACCGGTTTGGACCTTGTCAAGGGATTATGATATAAACCATATTAAAATTTGTAAGTCGATCATGCGGGTCATATCGGTGGTGTTCACGTTGGCTTCATGAATGGAATTGGTTGGACCTGGTTCAACCGCCTGACAAGTCACCTACATGATAATTATGAATGGATGCTCTCGATTAGGGATTGACAATTTCGACCTAATATGTTTTACATGATTTATGGGTAATACTTGTCCTGACGGGACATACATTGGGTATTCTCTTTGATCTATCTTGATCTGCCTCATTCTTTTTTTTTTTTGTCGATTGATATGCCCCATTCTTGATCCGTTTTACATGTAATTTTACTTAAATTACTTAAGATTTTACTATTATTACTTCATATTTTAACTATAATGAAATTATAATTATGTGAGAATCTATATATCACTATATTATAGTTTGTATTTTATTTTTTTAATGAAAAATAAATATATTAAATATTTTTTTTTTTAAATTACATACTCATCATCTCATATAGGTCAGACCTGTCCATGATCCACACCAATATAAATGACTGGTGTTATAAGGCTGTCATTAACTGTTTCTACGGTCTTACGGGCAATAATCCCTACTTTCAACCCATTCCACAATAGACAAGTTCACTGATGATCAAAAGAAGCAGAAGAAACTAGAAAGCTTCAAACAAACTAGGAAAATAGACATGATACAAGAAGTGGAGCAGCTGCAAACAATTAACAGACTCTGCTTATTTTTTTTTCCAATGAAATTAACAGACTCTGCTAGTGTAAAATGACATGGTGTTAGGGTAAACGGCAATCATCCATATATCAGTCAGCAAGGTTCAAAAAATTCACATTTCTAACACTACCCTTGACCCTTGTCCAAAATTCTGATATGTTGGTTCCTAATAAATAAAATAAAAAAGATGGCATCTTTCCTTTTGGGTGAATAAACAAACAATCGAGTGTATACATGTACAAGCTTGGGACTAATCTTCATTCATCATCTGAACTAGAGGATTCATTGTTCCGCCTTTCAGCAATGGCTGGAAACAGCGGCTTGAGATGATGTTGATTCTGAGCCTGCTGCTGTTGCTGAATTCCTGAACTCGATGCTTCCCGTGTGTTTTCTTTCTTTGGCACTCTCGTTGCAGCTAGTTCCTTGGCTCTCGCTTCCTTCACTTCTCTGCATGCCTTGTCAAGCATCGTCAAGAAACTCGCCACAATGCTGAAAAGCCTCAACCCTTCTTCCTTCCCTGACTTGCCATGGAAGTAATCTGCTGTGCTCTGCACCAGAGCTGATATCCTCTGCTCTTCCTCTGAAAGCCATGTGATGTCCGAGTCAGCTCGATCCATGAAGGCCACAAGTGAGGCATAAAACTCGCTCTCTTCATCGCTCTTCATATCAGACTCTACAAATGCTTTGGCCCTCGTCAATGACTGCCTGAGCTTTGACAGTGTAGACGACAGCATGTCAGCATCCAAAACCGCTGCCCTTTTCACCTCTTCGAAGTCGCTGCTTAAGCTTGAAACCACCTGGAGCCCAATGTTGCAGTAGTGTTCCTCTGCTGCCTGATCGTTGGGGTTCTTGCTGAGGTCTTCTGATGCCATGCTTGGGGAGCTTGCGTTGTTTGCCTGTGCTGCTCGGAACGCACGCACGCCTTCAGAACGGATGATTTCTTGAACGACAAAGTGTAAAAGGGTCGTCTTGCCATCTGTTCCTTTGACATCGGAGAGCTTTAGGAGAGTGTCAAGCTTGAATGCTAGTGCACCACCTCGGTAAGTGCCGTCGTTCATTCGGTTACCAGTTTTGAGAACTGCTTCCAGTAGTTTCAGGAAGAGCCTGCTGTTTCTGAGCTTGTTGCTAGCTACCTGCCATTTTTGCGCATGGAGCAAAATGTGAGTACATGCATCTCTGAACTCATCAGTGTTAAACTGAAGCGCCACTTTTTGGAGGATACAAGCAAAAATTACAAAATAAAGGGTGTCTAAGCTGTTTTCTGGTTAACCGTACCAGCTCAATAATCTTTTAACTTTCCAGGCTTTCATTAGCGATTTTCATTTTCATGGTAAAAGTTGTGGTTTCGAACTTTAAACGTAAACTGTAATAATCTTTGCAGTACCAGTTTTCAATTAGCACCTCCTTCACATTTTTCAGTTTAGATAACCGGTCTCTACCAGTTACCTTCTTCCACACTTAGTTCAGACCAACTATATACTACAGTGGACAAAAAGCCATTGAAATTTCAGTTAACAGAAGAACTATTTTATTCCCTCACCTCAAGAGTTGCAAAGGATTCTTTGAGAGACGTAACTTCTTCTTGAAGTGAACTCATAAATAGCAATGATTCGATTCTCTTGAAAGCAAATGGGACTTCCACCAACGCTTTGAGGAACCGTTCTGCAGGGCCCAGACGAGAAATCTCACCTTCATACAACCTCAGCTTCAATTCCTCGTCTTGTGTTGGCGCCATCTTCAGTAAAGTTTGGAGAACCTCCACTGGAAGCTCGTTAGCTGGATTCAGAACAGTTCACATACATGTAAGGGAGTGCACTCGGGCTCAGAAAGGAAGTATGCACAGTCAACATACCAACTTAAATGAGATGAACCAATAATTTTCAACAACCCTCTATGAGGATTGATGTACAAGATCACAGCAAAAATTTCTAGGGATGGAACGAACAGTAGCGAGAGAACAGAGGTACCTTCACGAAGAGCATCAAGAACTTCTTCCGTAGTAACATTTAGTGCTTTCAAAAGTATAGACAGATTCTGAGCCTTCCTAGGATCAATAATCTGAATGTACTTAACTGAATTGTCAACCAACTCTATCTTACGCTCATTGTTATTCTTATTAGCATTAAAGCCAAAAAGCGACTCTATCATCTCCTCGTCGAACCTGCAAAGGCAGAGAAGAAAAGATGTTAAGCAAAGTAAGGAAGCATGATAAAGAGAATTCTCATAAACAGAACTATAACAGTTTGAAGATCTATTATGCTTACTGGAAAGATCCACCACTAATCTCATGCCAGACCATTGAGCGAGAAGGACTGGCCATAACCTTATCCCAAAAGAAAGGTTTCAGCTTAGCCTTTTGAGCTCCATCATCAGTACTATCTGGATCACTGGAAGGACTGATATTGGGCTGCTTTGGTCCAAGAGGCGAAGGATTCAACTTAGACTTGGGCGGAGCAGGTGGAGGGCGGGGTTTTGGCAGTGGTGGAGGTCCTGGAGGAGGTGGCCGAGGTGGCAGCGGTGCACGTGCCATAGGAGGAGGTGGAGGCGCCGTAGGAGGTGGAGGTGGCGACGGAGGTGGAGGTGTCACAGGTCTTCCAGGTGGAGGTTTTAGAGGCGGAAGAAGTTCATTTACTGCATTTACTTTTGTTTCGGTTGATTTCCCCTCCATGGTTACACCCTCTTGTTTCCCCTGCTGCAGATATAGGTTGGTTGCAAGTGTTTCATTCACTGCACCATTAGACTTCGGATTCTTAGCAGTCGAGCTAGCCATACTTGCAGAAGCCAGAGATGAACCTACAAGACAAATAAAAGATGAAATTATATAGAACAATTGGTGTGTTTGTTATGGACAGAACAAAGTAACTTAAAGAAAAGTTTCACACATGTTTGTCCAATAAGAATCTATTTCGAAGTTACACTACGAGAGTCAATTTCTAAGTCCGCTCAATTCTTTATCACCAAACAAACGGTCTGTCATCATCTAAGACAACCTTTCATTGGGACCCTTTTTCTCTTCCATTCTGAAAAAAATAACATTTTTCTTAGCCAAATCAAACCACGGAAGAAAAATAGGGTAACAAGTGTACTTACTGACAGACGAACCACGCAAGTGGAGCAGAGGCCTCTCATCTCTTTCCTCTTCAATATCATTAATAATTTCAGGCCGTCTTTTCCTCAAGCAAAGAAGCCAACAACAGAATAACAATGCAACAAGCGAGAAGGTTGCTACTGCAGTTGCCACAATAGGAATAAGTTTAGAGTCCTGTGCAGAAGGTGGTCCTGAGCCATTATTTCGAGTTTCAGTAGTACTTGCAGCAGGGCTATAAGACTGAGATAATGCAGGTGGTGAAGCATTCGGCGCACTTTGGACATCAAGCTTACTAGCCAGATACCTTCTTCGAGTTGTAGTAGGAGTAGGAGACCATTCCAAAACTAGCCGAAGCCACTTGGCAAGCCAATGGGTAAAGCTGTTGCTTCCATCATCAGAGAGAAGATTTATCTTTCTCAGGCAATATAGAAGTTCCTTCTTCAATTCTTGTGGCACAACTCTCACTGGATTAACCTGCACGTTTCTTCTTGCTGACAAATATGATTCCATTTCGCTGGGTGATTCAAGAAGACTGTAAAAGTCACAATCTTTCAATAAATCCTCGTTGTCTCCTGACTGTTCCCTGCAGCAGCGGATCCATGCCTCTTCTGCCTGTGTATATATAACAAAATTAAGCCCCTATAACCAGTCTAACTCAACTTGACAGAATTAATAAACTTCTATCTGTTTATCACATAAACAGCATTGAGATCGAATCAATTGTTGGGTTTTCTCTCCAATTTTCCACAAGAGGTACTTAGATGCTGACTTGTATAGCAGAAGATCCATCCAATGTAGCTAGCCATGGATTGTCTGAAGAAGCTAACTTTCATATGCAGAAATTCTTTCCACAACTACCCATCATACAAATAACATTCTAATTTGTTTCAACAGAACAAAAGGAATCAACACCAATTGTGGGCATCTAACATATTTTTCCATTGACTCGGTCACCAGAAGTCAACATATTAGATTTGCAAGGGGGAGGGGTTGTGAAATTCTTCCATCTAGCTTTGAACAAATATCCCATATGAAATGCAGCAATCAAGACTACGAAAGGGTTTAAGCAATCTGGGAACAAAAGAAAGAACAAAGAAATTAGGTTGAAAAGAAAGAAAGATCACCGTTTCTTCTTCATTCTTCTGAGGGCTTAGTTGATTGGCCGTGGTCACACAGAAAAGCAGAATCACATAGACCGTTATGCACCCGGCAGCTCTTCTTGAACCCATTTCCTCTAAATTCAGAGCGCAACTCGCTTGCGACCCTTCTCATCTCATCGAACTACCGGAGCTGGAAATTTAAGGGAGGAGCTAACTGAAGAAATCAATGAATTGAAGTGGTGCGGGAACTGGGAAGCAAGCTTCTGGTATATAGCTGGAAGAAGTAAAAGAGCTGAAGCAAGAAATAGGGGCCGTACGCGCAGGGCGCGGGTGAGAGACTTGGTTGCGATTGCGAAGAAGAATCAGAACGAAAGTGGTGGTGGCGGCGGCGGCCGAGGAAAATAGGGCGGAAGGAGGAGGAGGAGCTTTGCTGGAAAGTGTTTTTTTCGGCGATGCTTTGGTGGAAAGTTAAGAAAAATAATTTATTAGTGTTTTGTTAACGTGTTATTTTTAAAAAAAAAAAATTTGGCGACTTATTCAGAGTGGAAGATAATTGTTGACAAGTATGTAAGATAATAATTTATTGGAGATAAAAAAATATATATTTATTGGAGATGGGGTGGAATTAGGGCTGCAAATGAGCCAAGCCGTTAGCGAGCAATTCGGCGTTCGAATTGGAAAAAACGCGTTCGACACTCGACTCGTTAATTAACAAGCCGGCTCGCGAGCCAGCTCGTTAGTAAACAAGCCAAGCTTGAGCTAGGCCATGCTCGGCTTGATAAGCTCGTGAGCTAGCTTGACTCGGTGGCTTGTTGAGCTAAGCTCGTGAGCTGGCTTGTTTAAAGCTTGTGGAATGATTAATTACTCTTCTAAACATGAAAATTATCTTGTTAATAAGAATATGTATGGAAGTTAGATGTTATTTTTAGTTTCTAGTGTTCTTTTTATCATTTTTAGTTTCTAATGTTCTTATTTGTATACATTTTTCAGCAAGAATGGTTTCAAATCGAGCTTATCTTGAGCCGAGCTTGTACTCAGCTTGACAAGCTGTGTTAATGAGCATTTACCGAGCTCTATCGAGTCGAGCTCGAGCTGGATTATTTTTAATCGAGTCAAGCTCGAGCTCGAGCTAGATGATCAAAATTCGAGTTCGAGCTAAAAAATTTATAAACAAGCCGAGCTCAAGCTAAGCAAAAACTCGACTCGACTCGTTTGCAGCCCTAGGTGGAATGGAAAACGAAAACGGTAAATTCCCGCTAGTTGCTTTAATTTCTCAATTTTGATATTCGTTGCTTTAAAAGTTGTATTTATCGTGTTAATTTTTTTTTTTTTTTGGAAAATGGGACCCTAAAATCAGTGGCATAGCCACGATTTGATAAAGGGGATTCCAATTTAAAAATATATCATGGCCTTTTCATAGTTTGAAAATGTTAGCTATTAAAATTTTTATTTGTAATGCTTCATATGAAAGAAAATGTATTATATTATTTATTATTCGACTTAAAATATTGAGAATTTTTTTATGAAAGGTAGGCAACGAGAATATTAGAATTTATTTGTGTGGGTGTTAATTTAAGTCTAATTAGTCTTTGGTAAATTTTTAATAAAAATTGTAGTTTTTATTGTAAGTTGATAAAAAGTATTAATTTTTTTCTCTCCCAAACAACTAACTCGAGGGTGCAATTGAGTACTTATTTTCAAGGATTAAAAAAACGTATCGTATTGGTGGTTTCACCAAAAAAATCTATTGTCTGAAGCGAAATTGGTAGGCGATGTTTGGCGGTATGAAACGGTTGAACCACGATTTCTGCATAAAATACCCCGCAACTGACTTTTTCGGTACAACCTCCGATACGATTTTTCAATACTTGCTTATTTATATTCTAAATGGGTTTCACTTTCAAGTATATATATTTTTTTCTTGTTGAAATGAAAAGCAAGAGGGTGCCATGGAACCCCTTCCTCCATGCTAGCTCCGCCCCTGTCTAAAATGACGTACTTGCATGGAACTTTAACATCGAGATAGGGCATTGCCCATACAATCATATGTAGTCCAATCACATAGTCTTGGATCTGAAAGACTAATATCATCGATCCCTAAACTTAAGGAATGCGTAAGTGATATGCAACTCTGTTGCATTCCCTAAAGGTGTGTTCTAATTTAACCTTTTTCGTTCAAACTTTTGTGCTAGCCTTTGATAACGGTGATCATTAGTGAGGAGGTTAAGCAGAGTAGTGGAGTCCATTTGCACAAGTAACTTTCGATGTCCTTGCCTCAAAGCAAGCTGTAACCCCTCAATCAGCCCCTTTGTTTTCGATCTGTTGATGGTGCAAGAGCTGATGTTGGATGCAAAAGCACATGTGCAATGTCCCTACACATTTCAGATGACCCCTCCTGCAGATGCCATCAGTTTGAATAGAGATCCAGCCTTCTGGCGGCAGAGACCAACTGAGAAGGTGAGGTGTTTTCATTGGTATATGATTGTTGCTTGTCTTTGCATCCTCTTCAGCTTTAACAATGATCCTTGTCCAATTATTTATTCTGTACGCCAGGATGTAGGGATTTGGCATCTTCTTTTCAAATACAACTTCATTTCCTTGCTTCCATAAATACCATAGCGAAACACCAAACTTCAATCTCATTTCTTGAATCTTTAGATTGTGTAGCATCCATTTTGCAAAAACAAACAGGAGTAAGAGCTTGGTTTGCAAGGGCATGTCAAGTTTGCAAGGGTATTGGGCACTCACTTAGGACGTGTGTTATGTGGTTTCAGGGCTGCCTTTGCAGATGACATAAGTGTCATCATGGGTTAGTTTCCGCCTTTTTTCGTTCCCGATTAGTGAATAGCCGATTATGTTTTGTCATCCAAACAAAATGCTTGATCTTGCTAGGACCAGACCAGACCATCTCCAAATCTACTTCTAGTCGCATAAATTAGTTGGAATATCATAGTTGTCCGTCTTGTCCTTTAGCCAGTCGTACGCTGATTTTAGGAGGAATTTGCTATTCTTTTCATGACCCCAAATTGTACAATCCACGCTCATATCATCATCTAGAGGGTTAGTACCTACAATGACCAAAATCATTGAGTTAGCTAGGTGAGGGGTAATCCGATTCTAGTCTCATTTACCTTTTGCAGTTGTGAGTTAGGTAACACAAGCCTTAAGGTTAATCCACTAAGATAATTTCCTCCAACAACCAAGGTTGAGTCCAGAAGTAGATGTTTCTACCGTCTTGGATGTCCCAAAGAACCTCTTCTTTCATGGCAGGCCACGCACGAAGAATTCCTTTCCAAAGTCGTGAGACCCGCCTCATCCAACTTTGGATATTTCCCCTGTAACACTTCCACCCAAAGGTCAATATTTTTTCAAAATATTTCAAGAAGGTTTAATCATGTAGGCGAAATTGAGTTCGTGGCCGATTGGAGTCCAAGTCAACCATGCTCCTTAGGCCTACAAACCATCTCCCAAGTTATTAGGTGAATTTCATGCTAAATCTTTTTAAATTTACAAATTGCCCGTCGTTTATTTTTACTCTTACAAAACTTATAAGAGCCCTTTTACTATGCTATAAAGTATTGGTGCTTTAATGTACAACTTTAAGTTGTACCATAACATTAAATGTATAAGTTCAAGTTGTACCATAAAGGAATTTGTACCCTTATGTTATGGTACAACTTTACAAGTTGAAGTTGTACCATCACATAAAGGTACAAGTTCAAGTTGTACCATCACATATATGTACAAAATAGGGTAGGTATAATCTAAAACTGTACCATAACATTGAATGTACAATTTTAAGTTGTACCATAAAGGTAAAAATCTATAGCACCAATGCTATATAGTATTGTAAAATTCCTCAACTTATAAACCCTAAAACAAATTGTAACAATGTAGACAATTTCCACATCAATAAAATATGAGAAATCATTATTCATAACTAGAAAATCGATCTTATCTGACAATATGCAATTTGGGGTGAAATGTAGGAGTTATTGTCAGAACTCTAAAATGTGCTAAGTGTGGAATAATACAAAGATGAATTATATTTAGGGACGTCACCTTTATATGCACCAAAAAAAGTGTGAAAGTAGTGCAAAGCGGACTGACACGCTAAAACACAACACCTAACAATGGCCAAGTGTAACCAATGAAAGGGACTGCAGTATAGGCAAGTTTAATTATCAACCCGGGGTCTAGATCTACTGCTTACTCCGTGATTCTCTATTATCTAGCAAACTAGTCCGAGTGATTGTTGTGAAAAGTAAAAGCAACAAGAAAGCAGTAATTGTTCGGGTTTCTAAAGCAGGCAAGAGTCACTCGGGATTTAGTCCCCCTAGCCCCTTAGTTAGGTTAGATTGTAATTCCCTGGGTTGATTTACTGTTGATTAGACTGCGGAAGATCCGACAGTAGCTTGGAATCTCTTAAGCTGACCAAGCCCTCTCAGTCTAACTACCCGGCAGACGACTAGTCTTCACCGGGATAGTAAGCTGAGGCTATGAACACAGAACTCCACTACTGGCGCCAAGAACACCAGTACAAAGCAGTAAACTGGCTAACTCTCGTATAACCAATCTCCTACTATCGAATGAAGAGGCTCTAACAACCTAATCAGATTCTATCTATCTCAGGTTGTAGCAGAAATTGAGAAAAGCTGATCAGACTCAAATCAATTCATTAAACATGCGTCATTCGATTAAAATCAAACAGTAATATCATCCCAAGTCATTACAATCAAATCCCTAACACAAGGAACTAGGGTTCTTCATACCCAAGTGAGAGAAGGGTTCTACTCCATAGAGAGAGAAGAGAAAACAAGAATCGGATTAGTCATACTCATAACGATGAGGATAATCTGCTTCGGGATGATGATTTCCACTCCTATGACGATCTCCAAGCTCGATTCGATGAAATCCAGCTCCAAGACAGCTTCTAGGGTGTGTTCTTCGCACTTTCTCTCTCTAGGGCTCTGTTTTTGCTCTCAAAACACGATTCTCCCACTTCTGGCTCGGAATAGGCTCTAAAACAGGGTTTCCCGACTTGCACGGCCAGGGTGCACGACCGTGCACATCACCATTCTGGCCGTGCACTCCAAAACGCGCCGTATCATTAAATTCGACCTTCAGCCATCGTGCACGGCCAGGATTGCACCTTGCACGGCCGTGCGTGGCCACGCACAATCCCGTGCGTGCCCACGCACAATCCCGCACGGCTAAACTGGTCACTTGCACGGCCGTGCGTGGCCACGCACAATCCCGTGCGTGGCCACGCACAATCCCGCACGGCCAAACTGGTCACTTGCACGGCCGTGCGGGTTGTGGGTGTGCCCGTGCGACTTCCTCAGAACCTCGCCATGCGTCCGATCCTTGTCCAATCGACCTCAAACTCGCTCCCAAGCCTCCATTCACGTACTAGGACCTGAAATATCATAAACAAGCACAACCTAGCGTGAAATCGGCCTAAAACACGAGAATCAACACCTCAAACGGTGTAAGAACGGGGGTAAAAACATGTGTAAATGATGGTCTATCAAACTCCCCCAC